GGGTAAGCCTTGACCCCCTGGGTGACCGGGGGTCCTACGAAAAGGACACTTGGCGACGTCCCGCTTCTCTTGCCTGTAAATTGATTGGCGACAAAAAAGGGTATTCATCGTTTTCCGGAATCGCAGCGCGGGCATCTGATTTAGACCCTTTTTGTCATCACATGTCCACATCTCTACAACCGAGCATGACAACGGCATGCCAGTTCAACAATGACGACAGCGCGATGGAAGGGGCCTTGCGAGGTGCCTGGGACGACGTCCTTGGTGTGCTGACGCCCGTCGACGACTATGATCTTACCGAGACGTCGCCCACCGTACGCTCTATGCCATGTTGGCGGACGCTTCAACGAGTGCTAGGGCGAAACACTGCTGCAGCTCGCATGCGCCGCCAACGCGATCGCTGTCGTTCGCCACTTGTGCACGCATCCGCGCTGCCATGAGATTGTCAACGCCGCCAGAAATGTTCGTTTTTCTCTGCGTACTATAGTCACTGACACCTCTTGTGCAGGACACGCGACCGGCACTGCTGTCGGCCGTGCTGGCGGGCGCCACCGAGATCGTCTCGATGCTCTTGGCGACGTTTGGCGATGTGATTGATGTGAATGCCATCTACTGGGTACGACCAGCTTGAGTTTTCGGATCAAAAGGAGTGAATAAGAACTAGGTCAAGGAATCGGCGCAATGGCCGCTTAGGGAAGCAATCCTCAAGGAGCACACGGAGATTGCGCTGCGCTTGCTCGACCATCCGCGCATCGACATCAACCTCGTGAACCAGCATGTTGGGGCGATTTTCTTTCGCGTAAAGGTCTCACTAGTATTGTAGGGCTCGACAGCCTTCCTAAGCGCGTGCTGGTGCAATTGCCTCCCTGTCGTCGAGCGATTGCTGGCGATGCCAGGCCTCGACACGAGCATCGTGTCCAAGGTCGGAGCTGGATCTTCCAGCTAACTTATTGACGTATTTTATAGTCGGGTCGCACGCCCTTTACGTGCGCCTGCTGCGATGACCACGCGGCCATTGTCCGCGTGCTGCTGGACCAGAACGCTGTCGCCGACCTCAACGTTCAAGACCATGTTTGTCATTTTTCACTTCGGTCACTTTGACCCTGCTACTACTGTAGGCCGGTATGTCGGGCTTTATGTGGCTCTGCTTTCACAACCAAGTCGACGCCATCAACGAGCTCATGGACGTCGTCGACCTCAACCTCCGATGCATCGTATGCTCTACCACAGTCTTGTGTCGTGCAGTAGCTCAACATTTACTGTATCTATAGAATGGGCTCACGGCCCTCGACTACGTCAGTCGCCATCTCTCGTGCGGTGCTCCAAGGGAAAATGTCGCTCTCTTGACGCTCACACAGAGCCTCCTTGCTCGGGGTGCCACGTTTGGAGTACTACAAGCTACCATAATTTTTTTCTGACTCGCTAAATAGACCCGAGCCCAGTCAACGATCTGTCGCCAAGTGTGTCAAGACGACGAGGTCAACCTTGCAGAGCTCGCATGGTATATGCATTTTGATGCCCTCGACCAAACCATTCGAGACGGCGCGTTCACAGGCGACATCAACCGCATTTACAAGGTATAACATCGTCATACGGTCTGTCCTTACGTCATAGATTCTCCACTGTAGCAACTTACTGCCCTGCAGATCCTTAGCGCCGGTTGCGGATTTGTCGCGCCAGAGGATACGCTACAGGAGAACGAGCCGCGTGTGGACCTCATCGAGTGTCTTCTGACGCAGTATCCCTCCATCAACCTCGAGATCACACAAACAGTAAGCCCCACCCTCCATCTCAACCAACGCTTACATCATCTTGCACAGGGTGGGTACACAGCTCTGGACCTGGCAGTGGCCCGCACCCGTCCAAGTGCTGTGGAGCGTCTTCTGGCAGCGGGCGCATCCATCGAGCGTGTACGTCCGAACACGCCTCATCACCAGCATTCTACCCCATTTGGCTAGAATGGAGTCCCTCTCTTGTCCTACCTCGAGGCGAATCGAAAGGACTCAAAAGCCGCCGCCGCCATCACGGCCATGGTCCACGCCGAGGACGCGCGCCGCAAGGCCTA